ATATTCAAAGGGTTATCTTGCGATCCGTATGAGGTAAAAAAAAAAAAAAAAAAAAAAAAAAAAAAAAAATTGATAAGGGATAATTTTGTAATGATTACATAAAAATTTTCATTATTAATATATATATATTATTAGTTTGTGGACGAGGTGTTGAGAAAATTCCATGATTTTGTCATAGTTGACAATCAAATTAGCCGAAAAACAAAAGCATCTTTTTTCAATACTGGGGTGTTAAATCATGTAAATAAAACAATAATTAACATAATATATAGATTATTTTTTAGTGTAATTTATCAAATAATAATGATCAAAAAAATATTAGCTTTTGCGACTTTATTCTAGAAACGATTTTGAACCACCAGAATCTAACAAGACCGTTGCGGGTGTTGTTCACAAGTTTCTGTTATCAATATGCTGTGTACCAGGAGTAGGGATCTGCTTCCGTGATGCAGGATGGTATTCTAGTAGTTCACAAGGTTTTTTCATCAATAGCACTGACAAATCGAAAGATAACGGCAAAGTTAAATTGTACAATATTATATTATCTTCCTTTATTAAGTCTCTGAAGCCGACTCAGGATTTAAAGCAACAAGAATTATTGTTGAAAATTTTAGAAGCATGCCCCGAATTAGTTCATGTGTAAGTATGTTAACGATAATTATCCTTTTTTGAAAAGTTAAACTATTAGATTAATTATCATTTTCAATATTATAGATTTTGGCAATATACAAATATTTCTTTTGAGCCTTACCTTTCTTACAAATGGATTGCAAATATGACACTTTTTCACAAGATTTCACTTTAGAATCTCCATGTGTTAAGAATGTCAAAATAAAACGAACATATAGAGTACGAATGTCTATATCAAAAGAAATAATTACTCAGTATTAAATAAATGTAATATAAAATTGAGAAATAAATTGCCTACCATTTTTTGAATGTGAATTTTGGTCTTTTGATTCTTTTTTTCTTATGTTCAATAATTTACCAAGCGCCTAAAAATATAACTTTACTAAAAGCTTTTCACAATGAATATAATATATACACATATATATATATATACCTTGATACCATAAGGAAAAGATTCCTGTAATTCCCTTGTTGTTGTGATATCATGAGAATTCATCATTATCAATAACCTTAGAGTCGCTTGACATAAAGGATATCGATCAGATGACAAATTTCGAATAATCACTTTCATATAATTTCTCAAAACATTACGAATAATTATCGTTCCAGTGGATTTTAATGAAGGTGTTTTTGTAGTATATTGAATAATCTTGGCAAACAAATCTGGTATAGGGACCTCAAGTTTTGTGATATTATTCTGTAAAGAAGCATATTTATTAGGCAATTTTCAAAATTTTAAAATATTGTTATTAATCAGAATTAATCAGATAATGACTTCTATCTGCAGATCCCAGATTCGAAATAGCTCTTGACATTCTGATGAGCTTTGCAAATATTCGTAGACTATTGATAAAGGATCATTAACTGTTGATCCATTAACTGCAAGATTTTTCTTTTTTACACCATTTAATTGTTGTCGAAATCTACTTATTCCTGAAAGAAATTGAGTTGAAATTTAATAATTTGACTTGATTCTTTATATAGTAATTGAAAAATAACATACCTTGATATAAAATTTCTATATTTTTTGAAGTGAAAAAATTTCGTAATTCTTCACATGAAAGAAAAGGCTTCCAGCTTGGTCTATTTTGATCTAAAAGATTTATTTCAGAAGCTGATTCGTTTTCTAGTATCTGCTGCGCCATATTACCAATTTTCAGATTTTCTGATACGTAGCTTTAATATTAAGGTATTAAAAGGAAACTAGTGCTTGGCATTGATAGTCAAATACTTGGATATTTAAATCATATTATATAGTTAAATATATACATTTATTTATACCAGAAATATTTATTATTTTTTTTTTTTTTTTATGGAAAACGCCGATACCGATATATACTGGTTAAATTAACTTGCTCTTAAATAATCCGTGTTAGGGGGCGTTGGCATGCAAAAAAAATTTTTTTTTTATCCTGTGTAACTGATCTGACGAGATTTAAATGACGTAAAATTGGTCATTTAATAATAACGACTCTAAATGTCGCAAGAACATCGTAACGACAATCAGTCAATCAACCCAAGAGAACCTGCCAGGTCAAATGAGCCGGGCTTTCCATTTAATGAGCAGGGTGGGAATCAACCAACAACGCCCTCAGCACGGGTTTCAATTCCTCAAACACCAGGTGGAAATCAACGCTCACATCGATCCCGTCCAACTTCCTCTAATGCTAGCGCAAGTTCACCTCCAAAGTTAACCCGACGTAAATCTTCGTATATACCGTCTGAAGAGTCTGACGATTTTGACGAAAATAGTGATGATTCTAATAATTCCAAAAGACGGCCTAAGAGGAGGGGCTTAAAAAAAAGATTATCATCGTATAGAAGGAGATCAGAAGATAACCTAGACAATGATAACGAAGAGGTTAATGGTAACGACGACGATGACAAAGAGCCAGATGAGTCAGATAGTGATCGAGAGCTTACGATCAAGGACAGACAAGAAGTAAGAAATTCAAATTTATTACTAATTATTATATATATCATTAAATCAGTGTTGGCTTGACCAGACCAGTTTGACCATTGGACCAGACCAATTTGACTGGTCTGGTCAAATTGGTCAAATAGTATATTTAAATATAATTTATTATATTATATATATATTATATTTATATAATAGACTTGACAATTTGACCAGTTGACAATTTGACCAGACCAATTTGACCAGTAAATTTTTGGTCGACCATTAATTTGCCCAACACTGCATTAAATATATTCATATGTACTAGGTAATCAATACGACACATCCATTCGGTATGCCAATATGGAAATCCGCCTTATACAAAAAATCTCGGTCTGTAATCCGAGATGCTAATTCCGCTTTACATTCAACACCAACGGCGGAATTATATTTGTCCACTGGAAATTTACTATGGGCAATATTATTTGGATGGGAGTTATCACTAGCTTCATTCATCGCATCACTTATTTTAAATATAACACCATGTGGTGGCTGGAGATATGCAATTGTTTTAAGAGAATTGAGTTACTACATATTATGGCCTTTCGGTAAATACGTTGAAAAAATTGACGAATGGTCTGACGAAATTGACGAGCATGGCATTAGTATGAATGACACTGATCTTCACGGCAGTGGTTCATTAGGTTCATTATTGGGTAATGGCATAGACATTGAAATTAATGTTGATAATCCATTGTTGGGACGTCGGACAGCTGCTGGAACTATTCGACGGCTTGAACGCGAAGGGCCTAGTTGTTGTGGAATTGGACTAGCAGAATTTGTTTTTTATTTTTTGTACTTTTTGATTATTGGTGAGTAAAAAAAATAATTATTATTAACCGAAAAGTTTACATATAATTTATAACTTTTCTTGATCATTTTAATTATAGGACCTTTATTCCTTATTGTTTCCGCTTTATGCTGGTTTTCCATTATTGCCATTCCGATGGCAAAGCTTACCTATGTGGTTTTAAGACATCTACGAAAGCATCCGCTTACCATACATTTTAAATCTGGGTCATCTACTACCAACAACCGATCTACAATTTTATTGTGTACATATAAGGCAATTGGCTTGTATTATAAGTACACATATGATGGAGTTAATATTATATTTATTAATCTCATGGCCCTTGTTGTATTTGCGGTAATCGATAATTATATAATTAGTGAAATAGTATCTGATCCAGAGGACCATTTCATAACTTCATCTGGCTTTATGTTCTTTCTTTCTCTCGCTTCTGTGATACCTCTTTCTTATTTTATTGGGATGGCAGTAGCTTCTATTTCTGCACAATCCTCAGCTAGTTTTGGTGCTGTGATCAATGCCACGTTTGGTAGTATCATAGAAATTATCTTATATTCAATGGAATTAGTTCAAGGAAATGGTAAACTTGCTGAAGGCAGTATTATTGGGAGCTTATTATGTGGTGTGCTTCTTATGCCTGGTTTGAGTATGATTGGTGGAGGGATGAAACGCAAAGAGCAAAAATTCAATTCTAAGAGCGCAGGTATTATTTTATATAAATTTACTAAATTTTAAAATAGATTTATGATTTACTCTCTCTATTATCTAGGGGTGACTTCAACCATGCTTATTATGGCGATCATTGGAGCTCTTACACCTACTTTATTCTATCAGACTTATGCTCCGGTGTGTATCTTTTTTTTTTTTTCTTAAAAAATATGATTCCATTATTCGCTAAAATGAATACATAATGTTTTTAGTATATAATGAACTGCAGAACGGTTACTTGTGCAACTGGTCATATTGAACCCTCTTGTCAAATTTGCCAGCATACCCAAGCTGATCCAATAGAAACAAAGTTATATAATCTATACGTTAAGCCGTTGATGTATTTTTGTGCATCAATCTTGATCTTGGTAAACTTTTAGATCCAATTTAAAATTAAAAGCTTAAATTTTCAAGTCTTATACTCATCGAATCGTTTTATCCTTAACTAGTCATACTTAATTGGTCTATGGTTCACTTTACATACCCATGCTGCCTTAATGTGGCAATCCAGTCATCACACATCAGAACATGATCAATCTATCTACAGACGACTTGTTCCCCTTCATATTCTACAACAGATACTGCCACAATCATCACAACATAATGGTCCAGTCGGTTCCACCACTGCTACTCGTTCTATGACAGAACCTATTCCGAGTACTAATATTAGTCCTACTTCACCTTTACCCGGTAACAACATTCATTTTGATACAATTGCTGCAGCAGCAGCAACTCTAGCAGAAAATCAACGTTTGAGACATGCGTATGAATCAGAGGAAGAAGAAGCAGCTGGACATGATTCACCAAATTGGGGCAAGGTGAAAAGTGTAGTTGTGTTATTAACATGTACAATTTTATATACAGTTATAGCAGGTAAAATTAATCATATAAATTACAAGCATTTAACCTATTTAAAGCCTAAATTAATTGAATTAATTAAAATCTGATATTTAGAAATGTTAATACAAAATGTTGAGGTTTTATCTACAGCCGTAGATGAAAAGTTTCTAGGATTAACATTATTTGCAATAGTTCCATCTTTTACAGAGTTTGTGAATGCAGTGGGATTTGCATTGAATGGGAATATCGCACTTAGGTATAGATAGATATTTACCTTAAATATAAAATACTGTCGATTACAAATATTAATAGTTATTTATTTTAAATTTGAATTACAGTATGGAAATTGGTTCCGCTTATGCGTTACAAGTTTGTCTACTACAAATTCCGGCAATGGTTGCATTTTCAGAATTTTATAATTATAATAAAAAGGTTGAAAATCAAGTGAATCATACATTTACGTAAGTTTATTTTTATTTTTATTTATTTATTTTTTTTTTGTGGCCACACTCAATTTTATTATGAAAACTAATCATATCGTTATTATTATTTTTTGAATTGTATAATTCAGCCTAGTATTTCCGAGATGGGATGTATTTTCAGTTGTATTGTCAGTATTTTTATTATCTTACACATATATTGAAGGAAAATCCAATTACTTTAAAGGATCAATTTTGTTTTTGTCTTATCTGGTATTAATGGCTGGATTTTTTTATGCGCCTCTTGAGCTGACAGATAATTACTAGGTGTTGTATTTGTAGTATATTTAAGTGAACAATTTTGTTTACTTGTACATTAATGAGTTTATGTATTTTAAGATTTGAATCCAAAATATTTATGTGATAGGGATATTGGACAGTTTCATTAACATTGTAATAAATATATATAATATTTATTTATTTATTTTGAACTTACTGTAGTCTATATATAATCTGTAATTATTTTTTATATTTATAAGCTGCTCGTATACAGTATATTATATGTGCTATCCAAGTAATTATTTATGTATTAGTATACAAATATAAAGTCAGGCACAATTCGTTTTGTTAATGATTTCTTTACATTATCCAAGGATGGTGATAGATTGATATATTACTGTATTAATAAGTACATATACAGTCAAACCTCTCTATAATCACACACTTGGGATACAGAAAAATGTGATTGTAGAGAAATGTGACAATTATAGAGGTCAAATTTATTATATATATTTAATAGTTTGTTTTTAAAAAAAATAGGCTAACAGCTAATAAAAAAATGGGCTTATATAGGAGGTGATTATAGAGAGGTTTGACTGTATACTTAGTGAAATTTGTCGCTTTTGTAATAGCAGTTACAATTAACCCCTTTACCTTATTACATAGTACTTTTCAGGCCAGGAAATAAACAGAAGAAACATTCATTTCAACCTCTTTCCAATAATAATATAGCATTAAATCTAACGTCACTCCGAACCATATATAAAGATCCATCACATAAACACAGTTCTTTTATAAAGTAAGCATATACTGTATAATTGAATTTGCTAACAATTCAGAAACTATCAACCTTATAACCAAGCCACCCCTGTGTATAATGTATATGCTCTAGAAGAAAGTCACCTGTTATTTTACTTAATCAATACAAAAAAAAAAAAAAAAAGATAAAAATATATACAGTATATACTATATATTAAATTTTGATAGTGTCCATGTCCAGTGGCTTCTCTTTATACACCAGATAATCCGGATCACAATTCGTCCATAAACCGAGAACATCGATTTGTTTATCTTTGATCATTTCACGTTCGATATCATCATGTGGAAAAATCCCAACCGGAATAGTTATCATTAACATTATAGCTAGTACAGCAAATAACCACATAGAAACAAAATTTGCAGCACGAATCTTGCAGGCTACATAATATTCTGTAGAATTATAAGTTGCATTTGATGGACAATAGAATGGCGCATCTCCGATGTCATCACGTGTGAATAATGTATATAATACTGAATTTTCAATATGTCAAAAAGTGAGAAATAAGGGATATAAAAAAAATATATAATAGTCAAAATTGGACAAAAATCATGCTATAATAATTACTGTAATAAATTTAATAAATTTGATATGAACTTTGATATCCTTGTGAAATTCTAACTTGCAAAAATGGCGGCGAAATTCACGAAATTTACGATGAGATTCTTAAGAATTATTGCGATGGCGTTCATTAGCATATATATACTATTTGCATTTCTTTGTCCAGCCTTGGGTAATTATTTATTTTAATGCTTAACAAAAAATAAAAATTAAAAATAAAAGTTAATGGATTTTTCGCGTATGTCCTGTTTTAGAAATCGCCAAAATTAAATTATTTACAGATGTTGGAAGCCCATATCAATTAACTATTCAAATGGAATATGTGTAAATATCCTGAAATAATTAAATAATTTTATAAAGCTGATGTAAAATTCAATTATTAAATAAAAAATCCTACATTTAGTTACTTGGCAGTATCTCTTATTCTACCAAGTAGGTATTTTAACGTTTCATAATATTTGATTCATAGATTTTTTTCCAATGAATTTGCTAATAATTCATTTCGTATTTATTTTATCGTTTTTTAAAAGGCTGGATTATTTTCTCATCAGTTTTTAATTTTTGTTACAAACCTGATTTAACGCCACAAGGAATAGAATTAAAATTATTGTAATTCATATTTTAAAAA